TGTGTGTGTGTGTGTGTGTGTGTGTGTGTGTGTGTGTTCACACTCAGACTCACAGTTTTGTTGATGATCAAGGGCAGCAGATCGTTGAGGAACGGAGCGAACTTGTCTGCAGGAACACAAGAGGCCAGCAGGGGGATTCCCTCTCCAGCAAACTCCTGCAGCATGGAGTCGTACTCGGCCTGAAACAGACACACAATGAAGACCTGATCCCAGAGGAGCTTCACTTTCACACCTGCAGCACCACCTGCTGGTCTTCATCATCAGCATCATCGTTTCCACCGTCCTGACAGACCACCTGACGAGACAAAACAAAAACAAACATCACTGCTTGTTCTGACAGTGCATTAGATATTGTTGGATTATTGCTGGATTAGTCATTGTTGGATTATTTATTGCAGGATTATTTATTGTTGGATTAGTCATTGTTGGATTAGTCATTGTTGGATTATTTATTGCAGGATTATTTATTGTTGGATTAGTCATTGTTGGATTATTTATTGCAGGCTTATTTATTGTTGGATTAGTCATTGTTGGATTATTTATTGTTGGATTATTTATTGCAGGATTATTTATTGTTGGATTAGTCATTGTTGGTTTATTTATTGCAGGATTATTTATTGCTGATTAGTCATTGTTGGATTATTTATTGCAGGATTATTTATTGCTGGATTAGTCATTGTTGGTTTATTTATTGTTGGTTTATTTATTGTTGGATTAGTCATTGCAGGATTATTTATTGTTGGATTAGTCATTGCAGGATTATTTATTGTTGGATTATTTATTGTTGGATTATTTATTGTTGGATTAGTCATTGCAGGATTATTTATTGTTGGATTATTTATTGTTGGATTATTTATTGTTGGATTAGTCATTGCAGGATTATTTATTGTTGGTTTATTTATTGTTGGATTATTTATTGTTGGATTAGTCATTGCAGGATTATTTATTGCAGGATTATTTATTGTTGGATTATTTATTGTTGGATTATTTATTGTTGGATTAGTCATTGCAGGATTATTTATTGTTGGTTTATTTATTGTTGGACTAGTCATTGCAGGATTATTTATTGCAGGATTATTTATTGTTGGATTATTTATAGTTGGATTAGTCATTGTTGGATTATTTATTGTTGGATTAGTCATCGTTGGATTATTTGTTGCAGGATTATTTATTGTTGGATTATTTATTGTTGGTTTATTTATTGTTGGATTATTTATTGTTGGATTATTTATTGCTGGATTAGTCATTGTTGGACGTTTCGTTTGTTTTCTCTCACCTTCTTCTTCAGAACATCTCGGATCACGTGACTGATCTCCTTCAGGTGTGACGGGTTTCTGCAGACCTCCTCCTTACAGGTCTTCATCACGYTGTTCATGGTTTCCAGGACGTTCATCACAACCTGCCGCTCGCGGTCCGTTCTCACCGTTCCCACGAAACAAGGCAGAACCAGGTCCAGTAACTTCAGCAGGGCTGCCCAACAACAAATAACGGGTTTAAGTGACATAACCTCAGATCATCATTCATGTCAGCAGTGTGCTGCTGGTGTCAGGTCTGGTTTTACCCTGGTGGTTGGTCTCAGACGGACTCTCAGTCCAAACTTTGTGCTGAGATCGACAGAACTGACCCAAAGCTCCGAGCGCCGCCCGCCGCACGTCCTCATGAGGAAACTACAGAGGATCGTATGAACACATGATCATATGAACACATGATCGTATGGACACATGATCGTATGAACACATGATCATATGAACACATGATCATACGAACACATGATCGTATGAACACATGATCGTATGAACACATGATCGTATGAGCACATGATCGTATGAACACGTGATCATATGAACACATGATCATATGAGCACATGATCGTATGAACACATGATCAGATAAACATACGAACACATAAACATGTGACATTTTATCTACAGCAGGTAAGATGTTGAAAACAGAGCTGTCTCTTTAAAGTGTGAGCGCTCAGCCTGAACTGGGCCCCTCGCCTGATGT